AGTATTTCCCATAATAAAACTATGACTTTGACATGGAACAATCAATCTTTTCCATGGCATTTTTAAGTTCAGGGAGGCTGTTTTCTTAGATTGGTGACTCAAAAGACTACACATCAAGACAGAACGATCTAAGCAGCAACTATTTGTTGTCATACTGACAAGCCAAGAGTAAAAAAGAACATTTTTATCTACCACATTTTATAAGTGCACATTTGAAGGAAAACGGTGCGCCAAAAACCATGGTGTTTTGCAATACTTATTTAAAAATATAAATGCATTCAAACAATTTTCAATCACATGGACATGTCGGTATACTAAGAGATAAGAGTGCACGGACCAAGCCCAAATCATCATCATCATCATCGTACAGCGTATCACGGCAAAGCGAACTTCACTGATCGCTGCCAAACTCGCAATGCATACAAGGTAAGTGAGAATGTGTAAAGGGGATAGGGATTGTGCTTATTTTTAGAGACGGGAAAAGAAAGCGAACCTCTATGGTCAACACACAGAGAGTACACAGTGCCTACACACTAATTGAAACATTGGACTTTGTTAAGAAATGACAACAACCAGATCGTCACTACTGCCGATTTTCTGCTCCCTAGTTACGAATTCTGTTGGACCCCAACCCGGCAGATGAGAGCCACCTGTTCTACCTAATCGCTTTGCGCATTTCTTCATACCTTCCTCGTCTCTTCGCCTCATCGGCTGGGCCTTAGGTGGCTTTCACTTTTTTCTTGCAGTGGCCATTGGAAATAAGGCACGATGAAAACACGCCCAGGGCACGCCAGCTGCCCGATGACCAAATCCAAATGTACCGTTTAAAGTTAGTTATTCGTGGATAAGGGTTGCCTAACTCACCCTAGGAAAGCTTAAAACCACTGGTTTTTCTTTATTGGTAGTTGGATAAAGGACACCTCGTCAACAATCTATCAGTTCCATGACCGTTTCGAACGTACCACATTAGGTCTAGTAGAGCGTGTACCATTTGAATCCCGGTGAGACGTGAATAATGGAAACTGCGAATGCACAGTAAGCATAATCTCTGTGTTCTGTCCAATGCTAAACTAGTTGATCCTAATTGTTACTGTTCTTTGTTTACACCAACATCAGGCTTTTTATGAAATAATACTAATACTAATAATAAATAATACTAACACTGTATAGGACAAACTGGGAGAAAACTGTCAACAAGGATCCGTGAACACCAATTGGTAGTCAGGAGACATGACCCATTATCGTTGATCTCCCTCCACGAAGATCAAGAAGGACATCAATTTGACTTCCAATCAACGAGAATTATCGACCAAGCCCGGTCAAAACATGCCAGAGAATTTCTCGAGGCCTGGCATTTTTTCAGTCAACTAAACAAACATGCACAACGAACTGGATCACGTGTACACATCAATGCAATTCAAGGATCAAATGGCGCAACAAAAAACGTCACTCCATGACCTAAGAACGGATGAAAACCGCAATCGGGACGAAAGGACAACATCCCTCTCTCACCGTCAATCCCTCGCACCAGTTCAAAGGCGAACCGCGTCAAACACAGTGAGAACAGGGGACGAAATTGGTTGGTGGAGAAGAACACATATATAAACGAACAGGTACAAGCCGAACACTGCCACTGTACAAGCACTGATGATGTCACCTCAGCTGGTGATGAAACGTTTGCAAACAAATTGCCAAGCTCAGCGAACAGGCGAAAAGGAATAATACGGAATCTCCCAATAAAATTAGGCGTTGCAACCGGTAATTGAATTTGTCTTTCATAGCTGCTGCAGTTCATGCAGTGTTCAGATAGGAAATTTTTCCCAACGATGTGGGTGTTCGAATGAGTCGAATTTGCTATCCACCAAAAGCACACAGATGAATTATGCATTCCGTTATACAATAGTGATGATTAAAGGCGTGCTTTGGACTCCGTAGGTTTGAGGCTGGTACCCGATCACCTGACCTAACCGACCACTCTAAACCCCAGAGCCTCGGGTGCTAGTTTCCATAAGTGGGTAGCAGTTACCCGTGATGAGGGGGTCGACTGCGCCTTCACACACAGGATGTGCAATAAAAAAGTCAATATGAACTTAATTGATGATGAGTAACCCGGTACTAAGGTGGCTACTCATTTTCCTAGATTTGCGTCAATCGAACTCCTCTATCTTCAACCGGGACTAATTATTCTGAAGTCAGACCACTTTGGCACTTGAATTGCATTTGAGGGATAACACTTTGCCACTGATCTTTAGATATATCACCGAATGCAAACGCATTTGATCAGGTATATATGAAATGTATCCTCGGTTTAATGAGAAAATGCAGTCCAATTAGTGTGCAAAACCGGTTAGGCTTTCAAAATGCAAGCGTGATATTAGTTCGCATTCTTAAAACAAAACTAATAAATAAATAGTATTGAATACCTTGTATAAAGTTTAACAACGATAAAATTTTCGCGGAAATTGAATTTGAGAATGAACGAATAGCAGTTCTCGTATTTGGGAATTTATCCAATTTGTCCCGTTGTCATGAGAGAAACTCTCAGCAAACGAATGTCACTAATTGTAGTCTTTATTTATCATTGTAATCTTTTTTGTAGCCTCGTTCTGATCGCTTGATCTTATGCTTCATTCTTGGTTGATCAAAAGTGTCATCTTCGGGGCAACACTTCAGCCAGGGATACCGAGCGGGATATCGTTCCTTTTCGTATTTGTCACGCTCATTGCACATATCGTCAGAGTCGGAGTCCCAGTCCAGATAGCGTGGTGGTCGTGCTGACGGCTGATATCCGCCCATTGCGCATGGATCAAATTGATCTTTGTTAATTGGATAAAGTTGATGACAAAAATGAAAGTGACGAGGTAGGGGATTGAAATTCCTAATCAACTTCAATTTTTATCTGCAGGGCGTGGAAACCAGTATTTACCACTCAAGATTGAACTACTGAAATAATAGTTAGTAGGCAAACTAAATTTATGTATTTNTAATCCGTTCACTTACACGACATTGCGAATAATAATCCAACTGATGTTTAGGCATCCACTATGAAAACCAGCATCTAACATTCTTTATTTTATCCAAGGCACTGTTCTCTTGCAAATTTCAGTTCTTCTGACAAAGCGTAAAGACACATTTCTTCATCCACAAATTCAACCATCATTTGAATGTAATCTGAGTACATTGATGAATAACGAACTTGTTCAAAAATCTCGCTATTTGAAAAAAAACTGGTTGTTATGTTTGAGACTTCACTGTTGGTCTTCGGACCGTGAGCAGTCACAATACTATAAGATATAACAAGTTGGTCTGCACTTATCGAGCTGGAAATCAAAGCTTAGCACCATCTGAAATCCCCTCAATTAACTTCGCAAAACCATCACCCCTCATAATTTGACCGTTCTTTCAGGAAAAATGGTCAAGGACATCGCGCTGGATGAAGTCTTCCTCCAAACTCAACTTGCTTTAGTAGATCAACAGTATTCCTCAATATTTCAACTCGTATTTGCCAAATTGGTGACTTCAAGGTGAAATGCGGGAATTCGAGATTCATTTATATTCCGAAATCTCATAGAGAATGTCCAACTCTATGGAATCCATATCGTTCGATTCGGGCAATTTTCAACTAAAGGTAATGGATTAGCTAATACTGTCAAATATTAAGGGTGCAGCGAATTAGCGCATCCAGAGTGGCAGCTCATGAATGCTCCCGAATACACCTTACTGCATCTCTTCTTCGAGTCGATTGCTAGAGATCTTTCTGAATGAGACCGTTTCCCAGAAAAGACTCCTTGAGATAGTGGTGGGCTATTTTTCACACAGCATCATGGACGAGTCTGGATTAGTGTTCTGTAACCAAACGATTTTTCTACTGGTAAAACAAACTTCTCAGTTGTTCAGTGCCCTTATTCCTTATGGTCAAAGCTATTAGGTATATAGGCTGATGTGCATCCATGAAATTCCACAACTTCAACCTTGTCTATTAAGTTACTCGTTTTAAACAATGTTGAAATCGTTTACCCTGCGGTTCGTCTATGGTCTCTTTATGTTTACGAATTATATATGCTTGTTGTTTTGTGATGCTGCCTGATGTTATGAGAGCTTGCCTTCCTCAATATTAGTGCAATTGCTTCCGTGCACAGTTTCTGGACCCAAATGGAAAGCATTTGATCATTATTTCTAAGTAAATTAAACATAGTCTTCGTCACCGTGATATTCTCAAGACTTTCTTGGCCGACTTGATTAGTTAAGTTTATTTGTGCACGTGAATAGGTTTTTCAACTATCTGCATACCTTGACATGCATGTCGCTTATGAAAAGGAGATCCCAACTTGTTGCATTCGTTCTTTATTAGGACTTCTCCTTTCATCTATCACCACCTCTCTAAACTGACCCCTATTTTCGGTAACAAAGCATTTTGTTATTCATCATCTGGAACACTATCCATGTTTTGCATTCCGTGAGATCGCTGGCAAAGATTTTGTGATTCGTGCATAGCTGAGAAGTACTCCAATCACCGGAGGCCGATTTTCTGTCCCTGAATGCACCGTACTGAACCCTCAAGAACCCTGAGCTGTCTGTTGGTGAGCACACACTACTTGACGTAGATCACTAGTGAAATCCGTTTCAAAATTTGACAGTGCTAGGTATTTCGCCAGACGGGAAAGTAGTAGCCTGTCATCAAAGCATCAATAATGTCCGTGTTTTGATCGGGGCCGTATGTGAACCATGAGGCTAACGGTTCCACCGTCAACCTCCCTGAATACTTTGTTTCAATGTATCGCTCCCATATTCCACTTATATATCAATTACGTTTTTCGAGAGTACTCGTTACCCAAGAACAAATGCTGCCTCGGGCAAATCTTGCTGTCCTGTGACTCGCGGCTCCCGTTATCGCTTACGAAAGCATAGATTTTGCATGGAAAACAGTGTTTCGGGATTGTGGGATATTTTGAAACTCACCAAAACCATAATTCGGTGGAAAACCTATGATGAATCAGTGGAGTTATTAATCACTCTAACAGGACACAACGTACCTCGGAAAAACGACTGTACACTTGTGATCCCAAACAGAGCGACAATGATCAGTAGTTTGAACATGACTCCGGTCAGCTGTCACGTGATTATTGTCGGTGACTAAAAGAAAGAAGAATAGAAACAAATAACAATAGGAGTGCGACAAAAATTTTGAACATTTTGTTGTTGCTGGTCCTGGTGACTGAGGATACGGACAAACAGTATCAGCAGCCTTGATATCTCGACTGCTCGATCACCTTCATGAACGGTTCAATAGGCATCATCGACGTTCATGTACGATTCTCAGTATTATCCTCTGGTTTGTAACCCCAATTCTGCCATCATATTTGTTTTGAGTGCGTTATAAAGTTGTTTAGACGGTCTGTTCCGCTCGTTACCAGTTACACTCACACTTACGGAAAGAATTCACTGTCTCCCAGTGATCACACTATCATCCGATGTACAGTTCATATAGTTTGAGATAGAAAAAGAAGATTATATCAGATTTGAAAAGTGTTCACGGAAAACAGCACACTGTACGTGGACTAATTTGAGAAACAGAGCCTGTTTTCTTCCATTTGATACCGAGTCATCGGTCGTGCACATCCGTCAAATTCACCAAGATTCCACACCACACACACGCAAAGCTGATTGTCTGATATACTTATCACTGGGCGTTGAGTGACATACTGGTTGTGCACATAGACATAAGCATTATCAATAGGAGCCAATTTGCCACTCTTTCATACGAAGACCCTATTGGCAGGTCTTGTGTCAGTGAGTGGAGTGCTGTGCACGACACATCCGACGGATGAATGTTATATGATACGTTGTTCACGTTAGGCCAGCCGGTGAGAGGGATCCGCACAGCTCAACTGAATAAGACATTCAGTCCACAGCTTACTGTGCCAGGGATTTGTTTGGTTTGGGCTAAAAAGAAATAGCCCTCTTCCGTCCAACACTGCTTTCTTAACTGTTCCTACTGACGTGTCAGATGTTTTGTCCAATTGGAGTCTGAAGTGTAATCCAGTGTATATATACTTAATCAATATCTACTGTCTTGATGAAAGAATTAGGCAATCGGATGGGAACTTTAGGGAAGCTGAGAACAAGCAATCACGTAAAGAACCGAGACGGGTTTGGTCATTAATAAGCATTTATATATGTCTCATAGAAAGAAATTAGTCGTGTATAGAGCAACTGAAGTGTAAACTGAACGGCTAGGAAGAACTATACGGCCGTTTCGACCTGGTTGGGTCTCATCAGCAGCGTGAATCCCTCGACCCAACTGGGGACCGAGCAAGGGACCGCACAGGTAGAAAGTAAGCTTGATACTCACTCGGCCATCAAGTCGATGATCAAACCGTTAACAGTATAGCACACCATTGCTTTTTCTTTCTCACAAACAGTCATGGAATATGTGGTTTGTGTGATTATACCTAATCCGATAAATTCTGGAAGTTTGTTGGTTCATTTACACGACAATATATTTGCATTTTAAAAGAAATCGGAACAAAGACATATATCGGCCTGCTAGTAGCATTAATAAAACACATGGTTGGATGGTTTTTGCTAACAGAGATTAGAATAGAAAATAAAACAAAAGAGATGGAGAGCAAGATGTCACTAGAGAGTGACATGGAGAACACAACGTTCCAGAGAGACCCACGATGAAAGAGTCTCCGTTCAAACTATCATGCCAGTGGTAATCCACTCTGTCGCACACTAGCACAATGGCCAGTTGGATTACCAGGTACAATCCCAGACACGGTGCGCCGTTTGCCAGAACAGACTGTTTTACATGTGCCATTATTGTACCCCTGATTGACTTCACTAGTGACCGACTGGAAAAATGTGAACAACGAATGTCGGTTTTTCGTAACAAAACCCTAAGCAAGCTGTGACCACGTTTCTCACGTGACGTTCAGCTTCTATTCAACGGACCTACCTATGGAGTTGCCAGAGAGTTACCAAATTAAAAATTGATCACATTCAGCTCGAACATTAAGTGATCTGTTCAAACGCCTGATAGATATATGTGGATGGATGATGTTTTTCTTCTGTGGGACGAATTGAGCACAAAACCTGTCACAGACGCTCGCGTCTTTTAAGAAAGCATATCAATTCGTGGACTTCACCTTGTAGTTTAACGACATCAACATATTAGCCTTTCTGGATATATAGAAGACAGATCAGTGAAACGATAGATCCTCAAAACGTAAGCCTGGAATATAAAAAATATACCAAATTTCTTAGCCTTATGGCCTTTATACATTAAAAACGTAATCCAACCCCGTGTCTAGTCCGGAAAACCTCTCTAATGGATGCACTGAGTGATAAACCACAATCCATCTGCTAGCAGTATCTGTTCTCACACAGCCCCTGTGTGCTCAAAAGCACGCAAGTGTGCAAGATCTTAAGCTTCCATGACCGTATTACTGACAGGTGACCAAAAATTCAACAACCGAGAAAACGATACTTAACTCATGATGAAGTTCAATCTCGCATGTTAAAATTCGAGACCAATTGTGATGTGAACTGTTGAACATCTTGATTACTTTCTCCTTTCAGTTCATGACTTCGTATATGCTACTAGTTCAATGTATTGCGTAGTAATGGCATGAGTCAGATGCACTGAAAAGAATTATTCTTGTGAATTATGTTTAACGGGGCCAGCACACTAAATGTTTAGTACCTTCACTGAGAGTCACGAAAAATTTCATTCTCCATAGTTGCATCATTGTTCCCCAACTCCAATAGTCAAGGATAAAGCCAACCTCCTT